CAGTTATTATTATTTAAATAGAACTTTTCTTTGATGAAAATTATTGGGTCGGCCTTTTGGCTAATCTTTCTTGGTCTTTTGGCTAAGATCAAGTTCAGTATTTCAGTATTTATTTATTAATTGATATAAATTCTATAAAACTCAAAATTACCTAATAAAATTAAAATTAACTCAAATTAACAAAATATAAAAATAGTTTAATTCAAATTACAAAGTCCCATATTGGTTTTAAGTAAAAAGGATTACATGAAAGTCTCTTATAAAACTATAGAGCTAAAGAAATAATAATCACACCTTCTCGGCCTTTTGGCTAAGATCAAGTGTAGTACTAAATTTTTTTGGGTCGACCTTTTGGCTAACCTTTCTTGGTCTTTTGGCTAAGATCAAGTGTAGTACTACTTTCTTGACCTTTGTGCAAAAAGTTTCAGTATTTATTTATTAATTGATATAAATCCTATAAAACTCAAAATCACCTAATAAAATTCAAATTAACAAAATATAAAAAGAGTTTAATTCACAATAAAGAGCTCTCATTAATTATTATATCCCACGATATATAGAATAGTATTTTAGTATTTAAATTACCTAATAAAATTAAAATTAATTCAAATTAACAAATATAAAAAGAGTTTAATTCAAATTACAAAGTCCCACATTGGTTTTAAGTAAAAAAGATTACATAAAAACCTCTTATAAAACTATAAAGTTAAAGAAATAATAATCACACCTTCTCGGCCTTTTGGTTAAGATTAAGTGTAGTATTAAATTTTTTTGAGTTGGCCTTTTGGCTAACTTTTCTTGATCTTCTAGCTAAGATCAAGTGTAGTACTACTTTCTCGGCCTTTGTGCAAAGAGTTTCAGTATTTATTTATTAATTGATATAAAATCTACATAATAAAATTTAAATTAACCTATTTATCTATTTATTATTGTGAATTTTTTAATAAAAGAAAATATAATTAGACAAAAATTATTAATATAAAAAATATTTATTAATTGATATATAAAATAAAATAATTTTTATAAAACTCTACCACAAATTAGCTTTTATTATGAGTTTCTTAATAAAATTAAATCTAATTAGACAACGATATATTTAAAGAAAATAAAGTAATTTCTATAAAACTCTATTACAAATTACTTATTTTATTTTCAATAAAACTCTATCAACAAAGATATATTTAAAGAGATTTTATAATACTCTAACACAAATTACCTATTTATCTATTTATTATAAGTTTTTTAATAAATGGAAACCTAATTAGACAAGAATTATTAAAATAAAAAATATTTATTAATTGATAGAAAAAGAGTTTTTCAAAGAGTTTATATTAAACTTTAACACAAATTACCTATTTATTTATTATAAGTTTTTAATAAAATAAAATCTAACAAGACAAGAATTATTATTATAAAAAATATTTTTTAATTGACATAAAAATTAAAATAATTTTTGTAAAACTCTACCACAAATTACCTTTTATTATGAGTTTGTTTTTTTAATAAAAGCTAATCTAATTAGACAGGAATTATTAAAATATAAAAATATTTATTAATTCATATAAAAAGAGTTTTAAAAATATTTTCTATAACACTCTAACACGTATTACATATTACAATTTTTTAATAAAAGAAAATATAATTTTCAGAGTAAGATACAGAAGCTCTACCAAAGTGTTTCAGGATTTATTTATTTATATAAAAAATATTTATTAATTGATATAAAAAATTTTTTTATCTATACTACTATTAAATATTCAAAGAGTTTCAGTATTTAAGTATCGATTTATATTAAAATATATTTATTAATTGATATGAAAAGTGTTTTTCTAAAAAAAAAAAAAAAAAAAATCTCTATCAATCTCCAAAATCTATCTAATAAAATTTAAATTAACCTATTTATCTTTTGATTATTAAGAATTTTTTAATAAAAGAGAATCTAATTAGATAAGAATTATTAATATAAAAAATATTTATTAATTGATATATATAATAAAATATTTTTTCTAAAATACCACAAATTAACTTTTATTATGAGTTTCTTAGTAAAATTAAATCTAATTAGACAAGGATATATTTAAAGAAAATAAAATATTAAATGTGCAAAAAGTTTCAGTATTTCAGTATTTATTTATTTAAATAAAAAGTATTTATTAATTAATATGAAAAGCGTTTTTATATAAAAAATAAATAAATAAAAGACAAAAATACTCTATAAAACTCTAAAATCTACCTAATAAAATTAAAATGAACCTATTTATCTATTTATTTTTATGAATTTTTTAGTAAAAGTAAATCTAAAGTTTTAGTATTTATTTATTTATTTTAAAAATATTTATTAAATGTGTAAAGAGTTTCAGTATTTCAGTATTTATGAATTTATATAAAAAATATTTATTAATTGGTATGAAATGAGTTTATATATATATATATATATAAACTCTATAAAACTCTAAAATCTTCGTAATAAAATTTAAATTAACCTATTTATTATTATGAATTTTTTAATAAAAGAAAATCTAATTTTCATAGTAAAATACAGAAACTCTACCAAGGTGTTTCAGCATTTATTTATTTATATAAAAAAATATTTATTAATTGAAATAAAAAAAATTTTTATCTATACTATTATTAAATGTGAAAAGAGTTTCAGTATTTAAGTATCTATTTATATATAAAAAAATATTTATTAATTGATATGCAAAGAGTATTTTTAGAAAAAAAAAAAAAAAAAAAAAGTCTATCAAACTCTAAAATCTATCTGATAAAATTTAAATTAACCTATTTATCTGTTTATTATTATGAATTTTTTAATAAAAGAAAATCTAATTAGACAAAAAATATTAATATAAAAAATATTTATTAATTGATATATTATAAAATAATTTTTCTAAAACTCCACCACAAATTAACTTTTATTATGAGTTTCTTAATAAAATTAAATCTAATTAGACAATGATATATTTAAAGAAAATAAAATAGTTTATATAAAACTCTATCACAAATTACATATTTTATTTTCAATAAAACTCTGTCCCATTAGATAAAGATATAATATTTAAAGAGTTTCTATGAAATTGTAACACAAATTATATATTTATATATTTATTAAGAGTTTTTTAATATAAAGGAAATCTAATTAGACAAGTATTATTAATATAAAAAATTATTTATTAATTGATCTAAAAAGTGGTTTTAAAAGAGTTTCAATAAAACTCTAACACAATTTACCTATTTATCTATTTATTATGAGTTTTTTAATAAAAGAAAATTTAATTAGACAAGAATTATTAATATAAAAAATATTCATTTACAATTATTAATATGAAAAATATTTATTAATTTATATGAAAAGTGTTTTTAAAAGAGTCTCTATTAGACTCTAAAACAAATTACCTATTTATTTATTTATTATGAGTTTTCTAATAAAATAAAATCTATTTAGACTAGAATTATTAATGTAAAAAATATTTTTTAATTGATATAAAAAATAAAATAGTTTTTCCTAAAAAAAATTTAGAATTATATAAATTCAGTGGGGCATAGACCAAGAATTATAGAAGCTCTGCCAAAAAGTTTCAGTATTTATTTATTTATATTAAAAAATATTTATTAATTGATATAAAAATAGTTTTTATCTATAAATTAGAGAAGCTATGGCAAAAAAGAGTTTTATTATTAAATGTACAAAGAGTTTTAGTATTTCAGAACTTATTTATTTATATAAAAAAATATTTATTGATTGATATGAAAAGAGTTATTATTATTATTTTTTTATTTTTAAAAAAGCACTTTATAAAACTCTAAAATCTATTTAATAAAATTCAAATTAATCTATTTATCTATTTATTATTATGAATTTTTAAATAAAATAAAATCTAATTAGACAAGAATTATTAATATAAAAATATTTATTAATTGATACATAAAATAAAATAATTATTTTCTAAAACTCTACCGCAAATTAGCTTTTATTATGAGTTTTTTAATAAAATGAAATCTAATTAAATAAGGATATATTTAAAGCAAATAAAATAATTTCTATTAAACTCTATCACAAATTACATATTTTATTTTTTTTAATAAAATTAAATCTAATTAGAGAAAGAAATATTCAAAGAAAATAAAATAATTTATATAAAACTCTATCACAAATTACATATTTTATTTTTAATAAAACTCTATCACATTAGACAAAGATGTATTTAAAGAGTTTCTATAAAACTCTAACACAAATTACTTATTTATCTATTTATATTTAAAGAAAATAAAATATTTTTTTAAAAGAGTTTATATAAAACTCTAATACAAATTACCTATTTATGTATTTATTATGAGTTTTTTAATAAAAGAAAATATAATAACTGGACAAGAATTATTAATATAAAAAATATTTAATAATTGATATAAAAAATATAATAATTTTTCTAAAGTTGTACCTCAAATTATCTTTTAGTATGAGTTTTTTAATAAATGAAAATAAAAACAAGCTATATGTGGATGTATTTAAAGAAAATAAAATAATTTCTATAAAACTCTACCACAAATTATCTTTATTTTCTATAAAACTCTACCACAAATTATCTTTATTTTCTATAAAACTCTATCATATTAGACAATTATATATTTAAAGAAAATATATAATAATACATATAAATAAAGTATAAAAGTGTAAAGATTTTAACATTTAAGTATTTATTTTTTAATATAAAAAATTATTAATTATTTTAAAATAGAACTCTATCACATATAACCTATGTATTTATCTATTTATTATAAGTTTTTTAATAATAAAAAAAAATATAATTAGATAAGGATATATATAAATAAAATAAAATAATTTTTATAAAATAATTAAAAAGTATATAATTTTTTTTTTATTTTATAAATTACAAAACATTCATTACGTGCATAATATATATATATGTATATATATGTGTATATATATATATATGAGGTTCTAGCATAGTATAAAATACTCCAATAGTCTTTGGGTTTGGGTTCTCTCTTTTTTTTCAACAAAATCGCTGCTGCTGCGAACATGGATTCTTCTGGTTCTAGCAGTGGTTCGAACTCTTTTGAAGAATCTGATACATGACCGAAGAAAGAAATACCTCATTGCCACGAGTTGTACTATGACGATGAAGACGAAAAGTAGAAATCCAAAGTCTCTGATGAAGACGAAGTTGTCCCTGATATCGGCAGTGATAGCGAAAGCGAATCTGATGGGTATGGAGATGGGCTTTGCGGGATGACCAAGAAAGAGTATCTGGAGTACTATAAAGCTGTTGGAATCAGCGATGTAAGTGTCTCTTCGATTTTCAAGCTAATGCCGTCAATTGTTCGTCTATATATATATATATATATATATATATGCCCTCAATAGCAATTTGTTTTAATTTTCTTTGATTTGATTTCATAACGATTTGTGGAATTTCATAGACTTCAAATTTGGAATGATTGCTGCTTTGCTATTTTCTTTTATTAGTAAAATTTGATGTGTATGGTGAGGTTTTCTCATTACTTGATTTGAGGAGATGAAACAGTGGAGATATATATTGTATGGATCTATATGAATAATGTCAATAATTTATTGTCATTTGAACTTCTTTGTTTTTGTTTTCTCTGAACTGTGATTACACCTTAAGTTTCTATAGCCAATTATACTGGAACATCAACGTAAAGCCCTCAATAGTTAATCTGTATATAAATATATATGTATTGAATGTCAATAATCTATTGCATGACTAAATTTTATGTACATTACAGGGGTTTGATGTTCCTGAATTTCCCCAAACATTTGCATTGGGTATCATTATTCCATTTCTCAGGCCTGGTGTGGAGTTCACGGATCACCGATCATTTAAACAGCTTAACAGATGTTTGAATTTAGCAGTTGATAATTACAACAGAAGATACGTGTGTAGTTTTATTTTTACCATTTGTTTATCCTTTTGTGCAATAAATTTCAATTCTTTTTAACCCTTCTTCTATATTGTAAAATTTCTTATAGGATGCAAATTACGAATTTGTGAAAGTTGTGAAGGCAAACTCGATGACTGTTGGTGGTTTCATATATTATATTACCTTTGAGGCCAAGGATAGGATAAGGATGACAATCCTGTGGAAACCTTTGAAGCAAAGGTGTATTTGGGAATTACGGATACGGATGTCTTGATATGCACGCGTAAAAAAGTTACTATAATCGACCAAGGTAAAATTAATTCAGTAACTAAATACCAATTTATTTTAATGTTCTTTGATTGATTTAATGATTATTTGTGGTATTTGATAGACTTCAACTTTGGAATGACGGTTGTGTTTGGTAGTAAATCCTATGTGTAATACCCACAAAAGTTTAAAATTGATTTTTAAAATAGTTGAGGGTCAAATGATTAATCTTGCGAATTTTATACTATAGTAGTATATGAGTAGCCCTACTGTAATTAAGAATTTGGTATATAATAGTAAGTTAGTTTATTTGAATTTGTCAGATTAATTTAATTAATTTAAAATTGTTTTGATAGATTAAAGTGACATGTAATTTACAGGAAACCAATGACTTCAATTATCAGTGTTTTTAAGCCCCATGAATAATAATTGACTGCTTAACAAGATGTAATTATTGTGTGTGATTGGCTGGAAATTGTCTAATGAATGAGGACTAAGCTTGTTATCAAATTTGGTAGGTTAAATATAGAAAGCATAATCAATGCAAGTATAGGTTGAGGTATTGATAAATGAGTAACTGGATGAATATATCTATAGGTATATGAGCAGATTATACATGTGCATATGATTATATGAGGATTAGTATGATCAATTTCTAACTCTCAAGAAAACCTGTATTCAGTATATACACATAAATTGCATAGAGGGTTAAAAAGGAACTTGTTGTCAAATTCGATTTGGTTGCACGAACTTGCAAAGGAACACAAATTTTACTCAATAACTTGATTTTTGAATCCATTTTGAATTGCCCATAATTTAAACACGTAGTTGGTGGTCGAATTTGGGTTTGAAAAGGCTGGATTGCAAAATAGGGTTCATGGGTGTAAATCTGATCAGAAAACAAATGGGGAAGAAGAGGAACAGTGAGCGACGCAAGTCCATGTGCACTTGGAGGTGCGTGGGGCGTGTGAGGCTTCGATGGGTGGTGGTTTGGCAGCATAATGGACCTTCCTAACTCCACATGCTTAGGATAGCATGATTGTACCCTCTGATCCATCTGATAATTATTTATAATTAATAAAATTTAGAGAAAAATAGAAATAAGTTTTAGAAAATTTCATAAATTACCAAAAAAAATATTGTTGGTAATTCTAAATAAAAATTTACTTAATCAAGTAATTTTAGACTGACTCTAGGCTGTTTAATAATATAATTACCCAAAAATTGGTACTTCTAAATGCAAAAGTCGAGAGTATGGGAAAGCAGTAAAGACACAGGTATATAAGCTAAATCTGGATGATGAATTTTAGATATACTCTTCCTCAGTTTTGAGTTCATGTTTGGAATGTTAAGTCTCAGTTCACGTTTGGAATGCTAAGTCTATAAGTGCAAAACACTCTACCTAAATGGCAGATAATGCTAGTACAATTGTAAATGATATATCAGATGGATGATTACACTTTTGAGGATGAGAAAAATGCTTGAGAATGCTTTGAATGAAGGTTGTTAAAATCGCGATTCTAGTTTGTAGAATTGCACGATTCTACGATCATAGACCCCAAAACGAGTTAAATTGCATGAAAATCGCTCTTTTGGGTAGAATCGTATGATAAAATCGTAGAATCCTACGGTAGAATCGTAAGATTCTACCGATTCTATACGATTTTATTGTGTGCCTTGTTTTTTTGGGCTTATACACTGTTTTCATGGGTTGGGCTCTTTTAATAAGAAATCCCAATGATCTTGGGGCCCAAAACAGTAAAGATAAAGATGAAATTATGAATTTGGTGAACATTGAAGACTCAAAATTCAGTTGCTCTTCGACATCAAGCGTTTTTTTGGTTTCTTAGTTCCTTGTTCAGATGTTCCTAATTGATTTATGCATGGGTATTTCTTGATCAGTTGTACTTTTGTTAATTTGTTATGTTTTTGTTCTTTTTATGTTTTCGGATTTAAATTTGATAATTTTGTTAAGTGTATAATGTTTATAACTTTATGTTATAATTCAGTAATTCATATAGTTAGTAGCATCTAATTTAGAAGCACTAGCATCTCTCCCAGTAGTTGGTTAGCTACCTCTCATTTTGTTTTGGGATTCTTCTTGTCAGTCGTCCTAAAATTAGGATTCATTTCTTGTCAATAAGTAATAATTCTTTTCTTTTTTTTTTTCTTTTTTTTTTTTTTGTTATAAGTAACGTCTAATAAGTTACAAGTTATAATTCATATCTAATTGAATTGATGTTGAAAGTTTGAAAGTTGATTAGTTGAATTATTTGGATATATTAGTAGCACTACATTCTCTTATACATCATTATACTTGGAGTGGTACTTCTCTACAGGTTTTGTGTTTTGGACTAAGTTTTGTGTTTTGGACTTATTATAGCTATATCTATTAGTTTGAAACGTTTTTCTACTAGTTTGCTAGAATCTTACTCGATCCGATTCTATGGAGCCCCCAACGATCCTACGTAGAATCCCGATTTTAACTACCTTAGTTCACACTACTACTTTAGGTTAGAGTCGGAGGGGATGTCGGGGACAACCTTATGATGATTATTATGCTAAATGTGGGTATCCAACTTAACCCGCTCAAACAAATTATTATTATTTTTTCCACTGATAACTCTCTCTCTCTCTCTCTCTCTCTCTCTGTGCCTCACTCTTCAACTTCCTATATATATAAATTTATTAAAAAAAAAATAGGACACGAACATGGTAAGGATACAATAATAATAATATAATTTTATTATATCTATGATTCTATAAATATATAATCCCTGAAGATCTAAATTTCCTCTTATTTTCCTATGGTCTCACAGCAACCACTGAAGCAATAATCATTCTTTTTTTCAATCCATTCTATTCTCACCCTCTCTCTATATTTGTCAATTTGATTATGTACATACATACACATATATATTTATGCATTATGTGTTTTTTTCTCTCTTCTCTCATTTATGATTCTATAGAAATAGCGAAACCGGATGACGATTTTGGATAAGTATTTCAAAAATTAGATGTGCATGATTAATTTATTTGAATAAGAGATGATGCCATCATAATGTATGTAATTCTAATATGATTTATCGGACTCTCAAATTATGTATAATTTACTCTTCCTGTAAACCACTGTTCATAGTCAACTGCCGTGTGATTGTCAATAAACAAAGTCTCGTTTTGGCTCCTGAACGTATTTGTTACATGGTGGAGTCATGGAAGACCTTATAATGACAAACATAAAGTCTTCATTTATTATCTATCCCCAACAACCCAATTCCTAGAAGTAAATGACATGCACTAGACAGTTGATTTTCTTTTGTGTTCTTAATTCCATAAGATCAAACAAATTAACTTAAAACTATTACAATTTTTTATTATCAAATTAAAATTATTCTGTTATTCATCAAATTATATTTTACTGAATATTTTTTTAAAAAAAATTAATGAAAAAAATAATTTTTTTTGATTACGTGGGAACTCTGTTTTAGATTTTTTTTTTCCCTTCTAGTTATTGTTAAATTTTAGTTCACATCATCTCACATCTTTATTTTGTATACATCATACATATCGTATATATAAATTTATAAAGATAATGATTTAGAGTTCAAAAGTCTGACAATTTTGATTAATTTATGTGAGTAGACCTGATAAAATCATAATTTTTACTCAATTTATAATAAGAATAGTAATTCCTATTAAGATGATAAGTAGTCAAAAAATTAGACGTACATGACTAATTTATTTGAGTAAGAGATGATGTCATCGTAACGTCAATAATACGTAATTTACTCTTTATGCAAACCACTGTTTATAGTTAACTGCCGTGTGATTGTCACTAAACAAAGTCTCAGTTTGATTCCTCAACGTATATGTTAAGTCTTCATTTATTATCTATACCCAACAACCCAATTTCTAGAAGTAAATGATACGCACTAGAGAGTTGATTCTCTTTTCGTTTTTAATTCCATATGACCAAACAAATTAACTTAGAACGATTACAATTTTTGAGTATCAAATTAAAATTATTCTGTTATTCCTTCTGCTTCCTCCCCACTCCCATGGACCCACTGCATAATAAACTTGGTGTGTTGTAAATAGTTGATCGATAGGTGGTTTCACGCCGTTTTGCTGTTGTTTTGCCAGATCTATTCCTGTATGGCTGGTTTTCTATCTCAACGAGGTGGATCTATTATTTTGTCTCCAGCTAGATCTCTGATCTATGTCGGGTTTTGTTATTCCCGCTTTCTTGTGCGGGGTTGGGTGGTTTTTCCCTCAGTCGGCGGCGCCTTGTGGATGCAGCCTTGGAGTTGTTGCCTTGATGACGGCTTGACCTTTGGGTCACTCCCGCTTGCTGCTTTCCTCCCCTTGGTGGTTTTTGCTATTATATGTTAGTTTGTTTCTCAACAAATCTGGAGCCTGCTCTTCAGTTTTTTTCTTTTATTGTTTCATGATTTGTTTGTCTTTGTATGGCCATTTTTGGCAGTTTTTGTAGATGTTGTATGGTTATTTTTCTTGCCAGGTTAAAAAAAAAAAAAAAAAACTTAATTACTTGTATGACGTGTGTGGGTACGAATGATTGGTGTATTGAATATGCTTCTTTGCCTAATATCTTAGGCTGTCCTTTTCTAATTGATTGCCTTGCTGTATGTGGTCCAGTAACGTTTTGTGTTCAGTTTCTTTCAATCCTTATTTCTTTTTCTATCTTTTTCAGTACCTACTGTGTTAAGATATCTTTTATTTATTATTGGGCTGGGATGCATACTTGGTGGGTTATTGTGTCTTTCTGGATCTTTTGTGGGGATATTCATATGATAATGGAGATGGATCAAAATCTTTTGGCTCAATTCTAAGGCATGACTTTGACCTAAATAGAGAAAGAGCCAATCATGTTGACGGTGGAAGATACAACTCAGAGTGAACAGATGTGTTGTTCTAGTTTATTTGGAAAGGTGTGGGCCTCTAAGACAACGATGATGGTGGGGGCTAAGTTTACTTTCGGTAACCTTTTTAACAATTTGTGGCCTAAAGATAAGCAGCAGGAGTCTCTTGCTAAGAGACTACAAGTATTTAAAGTTGTGAGGAATTTGTTTCAACTAATTTTTCCTGAGGGTGGTGTTAGTCAATGCATTCTTGCTGGATGCCCCTGGCTCTTTAATGGCCATCTGGTGGTTATTAAGGAATGGGAAGAGGGTCTGTTGTGTTCTGTTACTCCCTTCCAAGTCTATTCATTTTGGATCCAACTTTTTGATGTGCATACCAATC